TTTTTTTTTTTATTCTGGGCCAGCTTTAGCTCTGAGGCCTCGCTGCTGAAAACATCGATACAATGTTGCAGTCCGAGCCCGGCTGAATGGAAGCCGGTTTCTGGTGTTTTGTTTAGCTTCTTATTTGCAACATAGTACATAGTTGCTTAGAGTTGCAGTTGAGAGGCCGGCAACTGAGGCGAGGAACGTTGGAGTCCGCAGCAAGCAAGCCTCTTGCTCGCTTCAGTGCCTGGCTGCCGGCCGCCATCTTGGCTGACAGTTAATTTGCATATACTCACTGATTAGCCAATGAAAAGGGTAGCGGCCGTACGCCAATTACCATGTTTCTCTTTTATTAGTGTAGATTAAATCTTAGAAAAGATTTTCAGAATCCCAGAAAGACTCTCACATGTCCACTCTTGCTCTAAACTCATCTTGACACCCAGGGTAATAATATATTCTGACTTTTATAGCCATAAATTATTTTTTCCCATCTGTAAGCTTCATTACAAATAGAATCATGCAGAATGTATGATTCCCACTAAAGCATGGATTTGGGCCTGGCTGGTCTGGCTCAGTAGTTGAGCATCTACCCATGAACCAGGAGGTCACTGATTTGATTCCCAGTCAGGGCACATGCCTAGGCTGTGGGCTTGATCCCCAGTAGGGGGCATGCAGGAGGCAGCTGATGGATGTTTCTCTCTCATCCATATTTCTATCTCTCTATCCTTCTCCCTTCCTCTCTCTAAAATCAATAAACATTTTTTTTAAAAAGGCATATATTTGGGCCTAGGCCAAAATTGAACTTTAAAAACTTTAAAACAGCCAGAAGAAAACATAAGAGATATCCTATATAATAAAGAGCTAATATGCTAATTAGACTGGACGGCGGAATGATCTTCCGGAACCACCTTCTGGAACGACCTTCCAGAACAACCAGTGGGCGGGGGACAGGGCTGTGGGGCTGTGAGGCAGCTGGGGCTTCAAGGGCCGAGCCCCTTGAATGAATTTCTTGCATCAGGCCTCTAGTATTGTATAAGCTATTGTTTTTACCCAACTATGAGTGTTTATATTGTGTCAGTTGATGAAACAAAACAGAGAAGGTAATCTGAAAAACTTTTAGTGATAAAATGAATTCTATCAGGATAAAGGAAAAGCTGAAACAATAGAGGGTATGCCTATTATATACTTAATGCTGGTGAAATGGCCAGGTTTGATAGCAGAAACTTTGAGGATAGCCATTAGTTGAGCTACAAAGCTTATTTGTGAGTTTTAATGGCTTAAAATAGTGGGACACGGGGACTCTTAAAAAGAGGAGAGAATCCTTTATAAATAGAGATAAAGCAGTTTCAGTTGTTTTGTAATATCTGAATGAGTACACCACTCATAGCCTATATCTGAGACATATATAATTTTTGTGTTTAATTAATGGAATACAATCCAATCATGACATGAACACAGGCAGGGTGAAAAGGGTGAGCAAGCACAGACAGGGATGACATATCCCCTGTTCCCTGAGGCCAGCAGTGTGAGAAACTGCTCTCCTTGGCTTTCTTGTAGACCAGAATCAAATGACACAGTGTTTCACTATAAAAAAAAAACAACTTGGAAATAATCATTAAATATGATCCAAAAACAATCTGAATTAGAATGTGAGAAAGAATTTGGTAAGAAACAAGAGGTTGCTCAATCATAGGCATTAAGTGGAAAAACAAGAGGAGGGACAGGAGGCTAGGTCAGCCAGAAGTCTAAGAAATGCTCTCCTTCTCCAAGCCACTTTTTAATTTCACCTTCATGTTTTCCAAAGAGAATAGAATAAACTGTGTACTAGCTTCTTCCCTCAAATAATGCATA